CAGGGTCAAAAAGTGACCAGACCCTAATCTGATTCGACCCTACTCGACCCTTATAAGGTCAAAAGATGATCCGACTCTAAACTGACCAGGTAGACAAACTGAGTCAAGGCGGGTCGGGGTGTTAGTGGGTTTGAAGGGTTAAACTTACAGAACAAATTTTCCAACGTAAAGCCCAGAATCCATCCCCAGCCGCTAGGAATGGCAATGGGGCAGGTCCGAGCCGCGTATCTTGATACCCATACCCGCCCCGTGACAGGCTGGGTCCAGGTCGGGTAATTTATCATGGGGCATGGGTCGAGGCAGGTCGACCCAATGGGTATGTAATTTATGTGAAAAACTTTAAAAATATTCATTATTTCATTAAAAAGACCAAGAAATAAACCATAATATGGTACAATGTAGTTAAAGTATTGGAGAAATTGAGGTTTTCACTTATTTACAACTTTATTATAGCTAAAATATGAGGCAATATGAGGAAAATTCTAAGTAATTTGACTTAAATTACATATAATTTAGGCAAGAACGGATCGAGAATGGGGCGGGTCAGGGCATGTCGGGTCGACAAGAGGTATCCATGCCCGCCCCGCCCAAAACAGGCCAAACAGGTCGGGTAAAACGGTTCAGGTCGAAATTGCCATCACTACCAGCCGGTGCATAGCGCGGCTCAAAGTTCCCTAGTTTTCAATAATTTCAAATACAGAGTTTCGGAACCCGAAATTCCATTTTCTTTGATTATGTTTGGGTAAGAAGAGTTTGGAAGAATTGTTAAGAGGTGATGCAAACCCTAAGAAATAAAATTCCCCTAGACAAGTACTTATGTAAGTTTATGGTTGAAAGTGTGGTTCATTAAAGGGATGTAATCACACCTCTAAGGGTAAGAAATAAGAGGAATGAGAGGTGACGCAAAGACCGCCTGGACGACTTGCATAAAGCACATGAGAACATTTCTAACATTTTTTTTTTGGTTATGAGTCGAGTATGTCGACAACTTTTTTATTTTTTAGTACTTTGCTTAAGTCTTCATAAATATTAAATAGAAGAATCAAATTACATTAATTGACATCCATAATACATTAATTATTCTTCTCTGTAATCGCTCTATAGCTGTTATTACAATGAAGAAGCTAGGGCATTGGTGGACTGCTTGCTTTTGTTCAACCGTCTCAAAAGCAGGCAATGGACATAGCCACCTACGAATCAAGTAATCCAACATTAGGCAATAATCAACCTAATTATTGAACAAATAAGCTTTGGCAAGAGTGATGATGCGGGATGAAAGAACTCTGATTTAGCGATGAGCAACCCTTGGCCGAAGCCATAGAGTTTACCGGTACTTTCTCAAGCACTTCATCTGCACTTTGATGTGAGTACAACAACAACGAAATTATCCGATCCATAACAGAATTGTCAAACGGCAGTACGATTGGTTTGTCGCTTGAGAATCCAAACTCTTCTTCAGACATTCTTAGTATCTTCATGATCACGTCACTTTTCAGATACTTTAGAGGAAACACAACGAGTTTTGTCCACGGTGTAGACCACAAAGTAACCCCTTATGTCATAAGAAGAAAATGACGTTCTCAACGGAGAAGAAGACACATTACTCCCCATTCTTTTCACGACACCGATCTTCCTCCATTTTCTCGTCATTAAGGCTACTAGGGTTTTGGGAATAACCATGATAATGGCGAATCTGAGCTGTTTTGAAATCTTATGATGGCTAAGAAACACAAAGGGAAATGATGAGAACTTGAGAAGTGTTTAATTTATTTCCAACGTTTTTCGAGATGCTTAGTAATGGGAATCATGGATAGCTTTTATAGATAGCAAAGAGGACACACCAACTTGCTTACTTCGAAAACTGAACCTTCAATTGTGTTTCTCGTTTACAGGGAAAGTTAGGGATAATCGAAATATATTGGATTAGTAGATACTTAAAATTTTACCAAAAAAAAAGGTACTTAATTGGAACTAAGTGTACCTAATTAGTTTCTTTATTATCGAACCTAATTTGTTTCTTTTGTTGTATATATAGTAACGATCTTGTTAGAAATTAGAACATTTGTCATATATTTTAAATATCTAGTTTGTCTAACAGTAAACCGTTGGTCACGAGATTAATCCTAGAAGTACAAGTTTGTTAACGAACGATAACAAATCTATTGTGAATTTAACAAATAATAACAAATCTGCCTTGTAACCCACAAGGCTGCACGAGGGTATATAATGATTTCCAAGGTGTAGTAGAGAATCCTTAGTTCTGATTCCAAACACTATACATAGTTATTTCCAACAACAACACAAACCACACCTAGGTTTTGTTCTTCTATGTTAGTGAATACTGCTTGGGTTTCAAGTGGGAGAAACCATTTTCCTTCCATGTTAGTGACTATAGCAATATGCAACATATATTATTTATTTTTTTAAGAATCATATACTAGTTGTATATCAAACTTAATTATATGTTTAATTTGAATTATGTTGTCTATTTAGTTTTTTTTTGTGCAAGAATTGTATATTTAGTTATTTATATCCCCAAATAATATATAGTTCACTTTTGTGTACTTTTCTCCATTTAAAATTTCCTGCAACTAGAGTGAAAGTAGGAACGACATTTTTGTATTTACAATTAATTATTTATCTCACATAAAAAATATCAACATCAAGATTTGAACCCGAGTCTCTTCAAAAAAAGACAACAATCACAACCATTTACACTGAACAAATTTGAATTAGAAACGTGATATTCTTAAATGAAAGGATTGGAAGGATTACCCGACTTAAAAAACAAATAAGTTGTGCTGTTTTCTCATTTTTGTCCAGCAAGACCGTCCAACTATTTAAGCTAGCTTCTAAGACTTTTATAGTTTGTTTGCTTGATGGATTTGGTGAGGGATTTGGATCCATTATGGACTTTGTCCAAAATCAATTCTTTGCTTCATGCATTTAGGAGCAACAAATCCATGGATCCCACGAACTTAAGGGCCCAAATTCGTGGACCCCACAGACTTGAAAGTTGCACCTAGGGGGGAATTGATCATGGACTTTGAAGTCCATCATTTAAGACCAAATTACCCCTCCTATTTCATTTCTCTTCTAATACCAATGAGGACAATAAAGGTAAATTTCACTTCATACATACAAATATAATTAACCAATTCCATCATAAAATCTATGAAACAAACAATGGTATTTTTCAACTCCATGCATGATGAACCCAAAACCCTCATATATCCATGGTTTTACAAAACCCAAATTTTACCAAAACCTTCATTTTTCAAATCCACGAAGCAAACGACAGTGTGCCTGAGTGCTTTTACTTGGGATTTGCTAGCCTTTTGATATAAACAGTTTTGGTATAAAAAATACAATATTTAGGGGATCTGAAGCGTAAAATCTCAAGCTTTACGCTTTAAAGCTAGCTTTTGATTGCATTGTTATTAGACCACACATTACAGAAGATTTACGCTACATTATTTTATAACCGTTACGTAAAATACAAATATATTACGTAAAGTTTTTGGAGGGATAGTTATTTTTATATATCAAATTATGAATTAATTAAACAAACGTATTACTATGGAAAACTGTATTACGTAAGTATTTTGTCATGTGAATGGACTTGTATATCTAAATTGATTGATCATTTACCAACTACCAACCCTAATTCATGGCTTATGAGACAGCACAATGGTAAAATGTACATTTTTGGTAAAATGTTGACATCATATATATCCACATGTACTCTCCAAAAACATGATAAACAACAGCACATGATTTCAATAGTACTTAATTAGTTAATTAGGTAAAGTCCTCATCATGAATAGTACATAAAAGTCTCAAAAGCAGTGGCCATGGCGATAAGAACTAAGTTACTGATCATTAGGCAGTAATCAACCTTAAAAATCTCAAGTTACACATGTTTTTAAAAAAAATTCTCAAAATACACACGTTATGAAAATAATTCCCAATCTACGTTAGTTTGGGCCATCACCGCTGTCGACGAAGACAGTGATTGCATCGCTGTTGTCGACGAAGACAGTGATTGCATCACTGCTGTCGACGAAGACAGTGATTGCATCACTGCAGTACACGGCCGCGGTGAAGGCCTGACCTGCGTCGAAACTTTAAACAAACGTAACTTTGTGCTCGGTTATCCGATCGTAACGAAATTTTTTTTGATTCCGCATAATTTTTTGAGATCTTGCAAGCCGCAAATTGCCGCCTTCTTCTCGAAAATATCTCGTTTGCTACCCCGAACGAGCCTTTTTTCGATTTCGTCAAACTTTGAATGACCATAGCTTTGTGCTCCACAATCCGAATTTTTTTTTATTTCGCATAACTTTTTAAGGACTACAATATTTAGTAGGAGAGAATTTTCAAAAAATGAATTATTTATGGATATAAGGGGTTTTGGGAATAACTTTACCTTCCTTTTCAGGAATCCAAGTACATTCCGAAAATATGTCTATGATAAAAATTGTCGTCCTTAAAAAGTTATGCGAAATAAAAAAAAAATTCATGATTTTCGGATTGTGGTGCACAAAGTTATGGTCGTTCAAAGTTTGACGAAATCGAAAAAAGGCTCGTTCGGGGTAGCAAACGACATATTTTCGAGACGAAGGCGGGACCAAACCGCCACGGCAATTTGTGGCTTGCAAGATCTCAAAAAATTATGCGGAATCAAAAAAAATTTCGTTACGATCGGATAACCGAGCACAAAGTTACGTTTGTTTAAAGTTTCGACGCAGGTCAGGCCTTCACCGCGGCCGTGTACTGCAGTGATGCATTCACCGTCTTCGTCGACAGCGGTGATGCAATCACTGTCTTCGTCGACAGCGGTGATGCAATCACTGTCTTCATCGACAACAGTGATGCAATCACTGTCTTCGTCGACAGCGGTGATGGCCCAAACTAACGTAGATTGGGAATTATTTTCATAACGTGTGTATTTTGAGAATTTTTTTTAAAAACATGTGTAACTTGGGATTTTTTCCTTATTATTGAGCACATAAGCTTTCGCAAGAGTGATGATGTGCGATAAAAGAACTCTGGTTTAACGATGAGCAACCCTTGGCCGTAGCAATATCGTTTATCGGTACTTGCTCTATGCCTCCATCTCCATCTTGTTGCGACGAGAGCAAAGAAATAATTTGATCCATTACAGTAGTATTGAACGGTAACACAATTGGTTTATCGGTCGAGAATCCAAATTCTTCTTCAGACATCCTCAATATCTCCATGACCACCTCACTTTTCAAATACTTCAGAGGCAACACATAACGGGTTTTGTCCACAGTGTAGACCACAAAGTAACCCCTTCTATCATCAGAAGAAAACGATGCGCTCAACAGCGAAGAAGAAACACTATTTCCCATTCTTCTTGTGACAGCGATCTTCCTCAATTTGCTCACCATTAGCGTTACTAGGGTTTTTGGAAGAACCATGATGATGGCGAATTTGAGGCGTTCTGAAATATTGTGGCTGTTAAACAATGAGAGAAACTGATGGGATCGTGAGATATGTTTCTGTTTCCCGCGAGGAAAATCTGGTGTTTGATTTAAATCAATGCACCTTTGACTTCTTGGACAACGATAATTAAAAGGTCCACTCCTCTCCGAACAATGTTCGAACGAGGGTGTTTGATGTTTTGATGGTTTTTTTGGAAAAAGCTACGTTACTCTACTCCTATGGAGGTTCAGTGAGAGCTCCGAAAACTAAAAGCTGATTTGTAGGGAAAAGATAAATTTTGACATTGTGTGTCAAATGTTTGGTTGTCGAACCCTTTTCCCGTCTTCGTTTCTCCTATTTATAGCCACTAGGAGTAACTGCCTTGGTAACCGCCTTGGTAACTCCTAGCCGGTTTGTTGCTCCAACCGCCTTAGGGACCCCTTTTCGTTGCCTTGGTTGCCAATTGGTAACCGTTGTCTTGGTCTTCACCTCCATTACCTTGGAGCTCCTTGACCCGTCTTGTTGACTGGTTGGTATTGGATGCCCTCGACGCCCAAGGTGTTGGTCTTGTCTCCTTGTCTTGACTGGATGAGGTTGAAGCCCTCAACCTTGCCTCCATGATGAAGTCTCGACCACACCCTTGGCAGCTTGATGACTCCCCACTCTTGTCGTCTTGAGACCGCTACCACCTCATGACACCAATACCACCTCATTAACTTGTTGGTTGTTACCAAGCCGTCTCATCGGCTTGATACCTTCCGGTATGCCACCAAGCCCATGTAATCAACTTGACAACCCTTGCTACCAAGCCAGCCCTGGTGTCTTGGTCTCCATACTTAGTTTTTGTAGCCTCGTCAAGTTGGTAAGTTGCACCCTGCCGGTTTGGTACCCCGTTAAGGTGCTACCAAGCCCGTCTTGGGAATTTGTTTCCATATAGCCCCATAAGGCCCCCTGTTGCCTGGCCACCAAGTCAGTCTCGCCGGCTTGATACCCCCTTGGGGTCATGTTACCCTGTCGCTTTGCTTGGCTGGCAAGCCTGTCGGCTTGATACCCCTATTGGCTCCATACTTAGCCAATTCTCATATACTTTGGTATCAGGCCCTCCTTGCCGGCTTGTTACCCGGTGGTTTGGCACCCCGTTGGATGGCCTCCTATTTGGTACCAAGCTTGGTACCCGACCGTTTGGCACCCCGTTGCTCCTTGCCGACTTGTTTTCCATACTTAGCCAAATTTCTTACTTGGGTATCAGGCTTGCCTTGTCGGCTTGATACCCTCTTGTTTGGCCCCCTTATTTGGTACCAGGCTTGGTACCCGGTCGTTTGGCACCCCGTTGTGTCGCCTTGTTTCCAAGACTTAGTTTTTGTAGGCCAAATTTCATACTAAGGGGTGGAGGCATAGTCCGTCTATGGGGGCCTTAGAGACGGGTCGGCCATCGTATAAAGGAGAAGGGGGTTGGCCACTTAGGCCCAAAAATCTAACCCAACTAGGCCCAGCTGGCTCTTTTAATCATTAATGTTGAGCTGGCCTTATAAATCCATTAATCCCCTTGTAATTAATCGATGTGGTACAAGCTGATTTTTTTATGGGTAAACAAATGCCCCCCACAACTTAGTGTATAAGAATTATGCACTAAGTTGTTGAACTCAACTTGACCACCTAAAAATAATACTTATCTCGGTATCACCTTCCTTAGCCAAATTTTGGCTTTGATTACAAAGCCATGCACCTATAGCCCTTTTATAGAATGCTAGGCCCCGACAAAAGGAAGTAAAACTTAACTAGCTCAATTTCCTTTCCATGTCATGGCTAGCTACTCAAGCCATGCTTTATCACGAGGGTATCATGCCATGTCTTAGGTTGTGAGAGGCTTGGCATGCCGGCCACCATGGTGGCCGCCCAACATTGAACCCCTTGACACCTCACGTCCCAAAGAGAAGGGATATAAGGCTTGAGATACTTGTCATTGATCAATCGATCATGAAACACACCATCTAAATCATTTAACAAGTAGGTGACTCGCTATGACACAACTCCTAACAATGGCCAAGTGTAACCAATGAAAGGGACTGCAGTATAGTGGCTCAAGTAATAAATATCGAATCCACGGGTCTCTAGAGTTACTATTACTCAGCTTCAATTCATTATCTAGCAAACCAGATTAAGATGAAAGAACTAAAACTACTCTAACAAACTACAGTTAAAGTTAATCTAATTACAGGTTGGGAACTCACTTAGGTATGATTCCCCCTAGCCACTAGCCAGATTAATGATTGATGATCTCTAACCTGTTTCACTTTCATTCACAATGCGGAGAATCCTTAACTAGACCTTGAGTCTCGACTAAAGGAACAAGGCCCTCTTGAGTCAATTGCCTAGAGGGACGTATCCTTCTCTAGAACAACTGATCAAGGCGTTCTGAACTAGATTCCCTCTATCGAATGAGGTTCTCAATCGATACAAAGCAGTGAATCAACCTTCGACTAAAGCAATCGATCCACTACTATCAATCTATGGTGCTCTATTGACCTAATCAGGTATTCGCTCTCATAGGATCAAAGCAGAATCAATAATCTCGACTAAAGCAGAATTGAATCATGAAAACATGCATAGATTGAATATGAACTCAAGATTATCAAGTCAGAGTACTCATACAATCATCCAATCAAACAAACATAGCTAGGGTTCCTCAAAACCTAAGTGAAGGGAAGTTACTCCATAGAGAAGAGAGAGACTGCAGTAAGAATCTTCAGATGATCAGTCTTCAAGTCCGGGCTTGTTCCTCAAGCTTCCAAGGCGAAGAAATCCTCCAATTCCACTCTTAGAATGCCCTCAAATCGCCCTCTCTTTCTTTGGTTCGTCCCTTGGGTGTTTGGGATCCAAAACCCAGCTCTCTCCCTCTGTTTCGGCTGAAATCTGCTTAAAAAGGGCATCAGTGGCCAAAGCACGGTCGAGGGCACGGCCGTGCTTTGCCTCAGCCCGCCCGTGTTTTCAGCTCGAGTTGGCCAAACTCAAATCAGCTCTCGGCAGTAAAAACACGGTCACAGAACACGGCCGTGTTCTGAAGGCCTACTGCCCGTGTTTTCACTGCCGAGCCTGTTCAATGCTTCGTTTCTCCCTCGTCCGAACTCCGAATCAGTCGCCGTTTGATCCCAGACGCTCGTAGTCTCGTCCTCTTTCATTTCATAACAAGCTTGCATGATTCTTTGTTCATGAAGTGAGGTAGAAATCCATTCTTCTTCAGGTCATACCCGAGTTTCTTCTCCCGAATCGTCAATTGATCTCTGATTGACTTGAACTTTGCGCCTATGCCTCACTTTATGTGCTAGGACCTGAAATATGACAAAGGAACACAACCTAGCGTAAAATAGGCCAAAGATGTGATAATTAAAGCTCAAACGATCAAGAAACACAGGGGAAAACATGTGCAAATATCGAGTCATCAAATCCCCCCACACTTGACCGTTTGCTTGTCCCCAAGCAAACCTAACTCAAACCAATGCAGCTCTCCAGAACTCTATAGCAACAAACAACCCCGATCGTCGGTAGAGGACTTTCTAGATCATAAAGCAGCTTACGAGGTCAACTGGTCTTCTAAGACGTCCCCTATCTTTCTCAATGCGAGTACTAGACTCAAGCCAGGATCATGAGAAAAAGTAGAAGTAAGACAGTCAGTTCATGGATAAAGGGACTCACACCATTCACAACCAAGGACTCGTTGTACCGGGGTGCTCTTTCACTTCATTTCACCGTTGGAACCCCTTTTTCACTTTCATTTTACTTACTTTTTTTTCCTTTTTATTCACTTGGCGGGGGTTCCAACTGCAGTCTTTTGCACGGTCGACCCTTATTAGTCGAGCAAGAGCAATTTCTGTACATCTGGCGCTCGCCAGAGTACTTCTTTTAACTCCTTTTCCTCAACTCGTGTGGAGGGTCAATGAAATTAAGGGGGGTCGGAAGCTCTATCCGTGCCCTTAAAAACACATCCTCGAGTAGGCAAACCGTTCAACGGGTGAAAATTTTACTTGTACTAGAGACAGCTTAGCTTCACCTTGTAGGAGTACCCCACTAAGGATCACTAAAATCTCTTCCAAAACCCGATTTTGTGCAATGAACGGTGCCACACACGTTGGGCTTACCCCATGTTTAATATTTCAATGATTTCGACATGGAGGACCAACTGCTTCCCATTTTCTATATGAGCACCCTGTTCGATATACGAGTCCAAAACACAATCCACATAGAGTCACCATTACCACATGAATTCAACGGTCCTAGCTCCACTAATTCACAAAATCAACTGACACAGCAAAGAGCTAGATAGGAAAAATCTTATACTTCAACATCCTCCATAGTGCTACACTACCTCCCTAGGTTGCACATTACTATAGAGACTGTCAATTCAAAGCATACTGAGCAGGCAATTTGCAAGGAAACACGTACTTGGAGCCCTCAAATCGAAATTTGGGCAGTGGACTAGGCTCCAAGCACACAAACAGCCGAACATTGACACGCATACATAATCGAACATCCCCCCACACTTAAGCACGACATTGTCCTCAATGGAGGAAAGATAAGGAGGGTAGAACGAAGTTACCAGATCAAGGGTGAATGATGGTGGACGGGGCAGGCGATGTATTCCAGGAGGAGAGAGTAATCAGAACACAAACACCACACAAAATCTCACAAAGGTTGAGTTATTGACTCTAAAATCAAAGAACAAAACTGACTCAATCGAAGAGTAATAGGGAAAGAAATGCAAACCGAATGGTTGGGTTGCCTCCCAACAAGCGCTTCTTTCACGTCGTGAGCCGGACGATGGCTCCTAAGTTTTGGTCCACCCCAAAACCTCCTTGAAGTTGAGGTTCTCGTCGATGAGGTGGAGTCTCAAGTCACGAGCATGTGGTGCGGCAGGTGATGAAGGCTCGTGCACTTGATGCAGATGAAGTCTCCACCCTCGAGACCTCTTCTTCTCTTCTCTCGTCTCATTGCCCCAAACCAGATATGACAACATCGATTGACCACCATCGCGTCCACCAAGAGGGACCGATGTCGATGTGGCCTTGGTCTGGCAAAGAGACACTGCAAATGGGTCCTTGCTGAGCAATTCCTCGAAGTTTGGTGGGGATATCACAAGTAACTCATGGCCGGTGCAAGCCTCTTCCACCTCAACTCCGTCCTCAGCCTGGACGCCAATTGCTTCTTCAACCTCCCTTTCTTCTTCATGTGGTATCACCCCTGGAAAATTATCAAGAACTCCTCCTGCTTCGCTTTCGTCATCCTCCACAACCTCTTTCTGCACCCTTTCTTGCTCTTCTTCTTCTAGCACGGATTGGAGAGCAAGTTGCCAAGCAATTTCTTTCATGAGATCTTCTTGCATCTCCTCACTCATGCCCACCTCTTCAAAGCTCAGTGTGGGATGTGGGAAAGGGTGGCCGGCTACGACAGGACATTCCTGATCATGATCATCACGGGAGCTCTCCGTGACAACTTCTGTGTGCTCCACAATGTCCTTGTAGCCTTCTTCTTCCTCGTCCTCTTCTAGTATGGTAGCAGACGGGTGATCTTGAGCAAGTTGTGAGCAAACTTGCTCCACCCACTCTGTTTGCTTCGCTGAGCGTTGAACAGCCTCCTCCATATCATGGAGAAATGAGGGATAGGAAGAGGAAAGGGCTTGGATTTGAAGATCCATCTTGCGATTGCGTCTCTCGGAGTCCCGAACGAACTCCTCCAAGAGAAGCCTCAGTTCATAGTTTGGATCTGGCTGTGGAGTGTAGCATGGCTCTGCAGAATGGCCCGTGAAGGCCGCCATGGGTAACTCCAGCTCTGATGGCCCTTCTGGTTGTGGAAGAAAGTCTTCTTGGTAATGGGATTGTTCTTGATATGCCCAGGGGTCAGATTGTTCTCCATAGAAAGGGGGTTGGTACTGGAACCCGGATCCATAGTCTTCTCCTCCTTGATTGCTCCAGGGGGTCTCGGGGTAATACCACTCGGACGGTGGTGGATACCCCCAATGATTGGAGAAGCCATGAGGATCCATGATTCAGATCTGCACCAACAAAAACAAAAACACCCAAGTGAAAAGCAAGGGTGGAAAAAAAAAGAAAACCGCTAAAGTAACAAACTTCTGCCTTTCCTAATACTCTAGAAAGTCCCCGGCAACGGCGCCAAAAACTTGACTCGCTATGACACAACTCCTAACAATGGCCAAGTGTAACCAATGAAAGGGACTGCAGTATAGTGGCTCAAGTAATAAATATCGAATCCACGGGTCTCTAGAGTTACTATTACTCAGCTTCAATTCATTATCTAGCAAACCAGATTAAGATGAAAGAACTAAAACTACTCTAACAAACTACAGTTAAAGTTAATCTAATTACAGGTTGGGAACTCACTTAGGTATGATTCCCCCTAGCCACTAGCCAGATTAATGATTGATGATCTCTAACCTGTTTCACTTTCATTCACAATGCGGAGAATCCTTAACTAGACCTTGAGTCTCGACTAAAGGAACAAGGCCCTCTTGAGTCAATTGCCTAGAGGGACGTATCCTTCTCTAGAACAACTGATCAAGGCGTTCTGAACTAGATTCCCTCTATCGAATGAGGTTCTCAATCGATACAAAGCAGTGAATCAACCTTCGACTAAAGCAATCGATCCACTACTATCAATCTATGGTGCTCTATTGACCTAATCAGGTATTCGCTCTCATAGGATCAAAGCAGAATCAATAATCTCGACTAAAGCAGAATTGAATCATGAAAACATGCATAGATTGAATATGAACTCAAGATTATCAAGTCAGAGTACTCATACAATCATCCAATCAAACAAACATAGCTAGGGTTCCTCAAAACCTAAGTGAAGGGAAGTTACTCCATAGAGAAGAGAGAGACTGCAGTAAGAATCTTCAGATGATCAGTCTTCAAGTCCGGGCTTGTTCCTCAAGCTTCCAAGGCGAAGAAATCCTCCAATTCCACTCTTAGAATGCCCTCAAATCGCCCTCTCTTTCTTTGGTTCGTCCCTTGGGTGTTTGGGATCCAAAACCCAGCTCTCTCCCTCTGTTTCGGCTGAAATCTGCTTAAAAAGGGCATCAGTGGCCAAAGCACGGTCGAGGGCACGGCCGTGCTTTGCCTCAGCCCGCCCGTGTTTTCAGCTCGAGTTGGCCAAACTCAAATCAGCTCTCGGCAGTAAAAACACGGTCACAGAACACGGCCGTGTTCTGAAGGCCTACTGCCCGTGTTTTCACTGCCGAGCCTGTTCAATGCTTCGTTTCTCCCTCGTCCGAACTCCGAATCAGTCGCCGTTTGATCCCAGACGCTCGTAGTCTCGTCCTCTTTCATTTCATAACAAGCTTGCATGATTCTTTGTTCATGAAGTGAGGTAGAAATCCATTCTTCTTCAGGTCATACCCGAGTTTCTTCTCCCGAATCGTCAATTGATCTCTGATTGACTTGAACTTTGCGCCTATGCCTCACTTTATGTGCTAGGACCTGAAATATGACAAAGGAACACAACCTAGCGTAAAATAGGCCAAAGATGTGATAATTAAAGCTCAAACGATCAAGAAACACAGGGGAAAACATGTGCAAATATCGAGTCATCAGTAGGCCACATTGGGTCGGGTGGCATGGACAGTGAAAGGTCTACACCAGACACCCAATCACTTGCTCATGCTATGTAAGTGGCATGGATCCAACCACCACATGGCTGTGGCTTGCCAGTCATTACCAGGTACTCACACCATAAATCTAACTAAAACTTGAGACTTCGACCTCGTATTTTTTAGCCATGATTGGCTTTTGATTTTTCTTTTCTCTTCTTTTTTTTGTAATATTTTATTTATTTATTTATTTTAATATAGAAGAGAGTGACAAAAGTCACTAATATCCATGGCCTTTGGCACCCACCAACGTGCCAAAGGTGTACAGCCACTGCCAAGTCCATGGGTGAAACCAGACCAACCATCCATACACTACTTGTCTTCCCTTCGTTAGGAGAAACAACTCATTCGGTGCTGGTTTCAAATTTTCCAACTTAACAATGGATGGCACCCTCTCAACTTGCTCTGTCTTAGTGGGCTTGCAAGGGGTCCCATGATCCACTGCCTTGGCCACCTTACTAGACATGTTGGGTTGATGTTGAACCCGATGTGTTTGCCTCGTCCTGGGTGGTGCACTAGACATTTTCAACTCCTTCGACTCATCAAAGGGGCCAAGAGTTGTCATCTGTCTTATTTTACCCCAACTAGGCACATGCTTACTCTTCCCATATGGTTGAGAAGACGGGTGTTTGGACTTACAGAGTTGACGACCACCATTGTGGCCAACTTGACTCTTTCTAAAACCCATGTCTTCATGGTTTTTACACTTAACACATAACAACCCTTGATTTTTTATAGGACCATGATTGATTGGTGTGTGTCGAGATGTCTTATTCATACCTTCTTGTTTGCCATTCATGTTTGGCATGCAATGGGGGGCTTTAGGCATGGACTTGCTTCCTCGTCCATCCCTTAACGCCATCCCATACTTAGAAATTTTTTGAGTGGGTTGGGTGTGATGAACACTCCTAGACTTGTTCTCCACTCGTTTCTTCACTATCGGTGACATGCCCCCCTTTCCACTATTTGGAGACATGCCCCCCATAGCATTTTTCATGGTTTTTGACGTGCCCCCTTTGCCAATCTCAACTTCACTACCATTCTTACTACAAGCACGTGTGGCTTGGATTTGTTGTGGCTTCTTGGGCATGTGTATCTTTCTATTGTTTGTGGTTGATGATATGCCCCCTTGTCGACCCTTCATGGGTGGCATGATACAAGGGGCCTCGCCTCCTTGTGCCCTCTTTGACACGTTGTCGAAGTTATGAAAATCATAGGCGGCATGGGTAGGCAACACCCACTTAAACTTGCCACTCAATCCATCCTTCATGTATGATGACATGCCCCCTGCCCACTGCATGGAGATGGAGATATGCCCCCCATGCCATCCTTAGGAAACAAATATGGTGTTTTGTTGGACACACCATTTTGTTCACCTTTCTTGACATCAAATTGCCCCTCACCCTGACTCTTCATCTTCATCTTGTTAGGTGGTAGGCTTCCATGCACCTCTTCCTGCCCCCCTGGTGGTTTGCATCCACCAGACCGCTTAAGCATCGATGGCAAAGAGGTTGGGCAAACTTGTGGTAGCACATCCATAGCTAGTGACCCTCCGCCAACTGTCATGTTCAAGAATGGTCTAGCCTCTGAGATAGTTTTTAGAGTAACTGTCTGCACAGGCGGCGGTTGCTTTACATGGGTGGTGAATGTGTTAGTAATATTCTTGTCATAACCGCCTTGTTGAAGAGGTGGTTGACTCATTGCCGGAGAAGGTAAGTTCCCTGACCGTGGTTGGGTAGTCCGGCCACCGGAGAACAGGATACTTGTATACTCAGTAGCAATACTTGGTGGCGGATCTATACCAATTTTTGGTAAAGAAATTTCTCGCACCACTGGTTCTATAAAATATTTTTTAAGCTTATCCAAGCAATTTGTATTTTCTGTAGTTGCTTCAATCAATTCATCCAAATGTCTATCTAACATAGAACTAAAAGAAGCAAGTTTTAGACTTGTCTGTTGTGAACTTCTAACAAGTCCATTCAAACTCTCTTCCATCAATCGACGGATCTCCACCATCACTTGATGGTTCTCCACCACCATCTTGCAGTTATCATCTACTATTGAGCGGGGTGACATGGCAGTGGTGGTTACATCGGCACAAGGTGCCGCCGGTGGCAAGATCTCAATCATGCCATTGTTTCCGACAACACTTACTAATGCTTGGCCAAATTTGAACTTGGCCGCCAACTCCTTCACAACTCCTCGTGAAATATCACCTTCCTGTTCTCTTAGTCGTGGCGCCATCAAATCAAACACATAGAGTCCCACCAGGTGTGCCAATTTGTTTTCCGACGAGGAAAATCTGGTGTTTGATTTCAATCAATGCACCTTTGACTTCTTGGACAACGATAATTACACGGTCCACTCCTCTCCGAACAATGTTCGAACGAGGGTGTTTGATGTTTTGATGGTTTTTTGGGAACAAGCTACGTTACTCTACTCCTATGGAGGTTCAGTGAGAGCTCCGAAAACTAAAAGCTGATTTGCAGGGAAAAGATAAATTTGGACATTGTGTGTCAAATGTTTGGTTGTCGAACCCTTTTCCCGTCTTCCTTTCTCCTATTTATAGCCACTAGGAGTAACTTCCTTGGTAACCGCCTTGGTAACTCCTAGCCGGCTTGTTGCTCCAACCGCCTTAGGGACCCCTTTTCGTTGCGTTGGTTGCCAATTGGTAACCATTGTCTTGGTCTTCGCCTCCATTACCTTGGAGCTCCTTGACCCGTCTTGTTGACTGGTTGGTATTTGATGCCCTCGACGCCCAAGGTGTTGGTCCTGTCGCCTTGTCTTGACTGGGTGAGGTTGAACCCCTCAACCTTGCCTCCATGATGAAGTCTCGACCACACCCTTGGCAGCTTGATGACTCCCCACTCTTGTCGTCTTGACACCACTACCACCTCATTAACTTGTTGGTTGTTACCAAGCCGTCTCATCGGCTTGATACATTCCGGCATGCCACCAAGCCCATGTAATCAACTTGACACCCCTTGCTACCAAGCCAGCCCTGGTGGCTTGGTCTCCATACTTAGTTTTTATAGCCTCGTCAAGTTGGTAAGTTGCACCCTACCGGTTTGGTACCCCGTTAAGGTGCTACCAAGCCCGTCTTGGGAATTTGTTTCCATATAGCCCCATAAGGGCTGAACTCTGCATTCTGGTCGATCCATCCATGGCTGTTTGGCTTGATACCCAGACTTAGTTTCTGTATGACTCTCTTAGTTGGTACCTGGCTTGGCCCCCTGTTGCCTGGCCACCAAGTCAGTCTCACCGGCTTGATACCCCCTTGGGGTCATGGTACCCTGTCGCCTTGCTTGGCTGCCAAGCCTGTCGGCTTGATACCCCTATTGGCTCCATACTTAGCCAATTCTCATATACTTTGGTATCAGGCCCTCCTTGTCGGCTTGTTACCCGGTCGTTTGGCACCATGTTGCTCCTTGCCGGCTTGGTACCCGGTCGTTTGGCACCCCGTTGGATGGCCTCCTATTTGGTACCAAGCTTGGTACCCGACCGTTTGGCACCCCGTTGCTCCTTGCCGACTTGTTTTCCATACTTAGCCAAATTTCTTACTTGGGTATCAGGCCTGCCTTGTCGGCTTGATACCCTCTTGTTTGGCCCCCTTATTTGGTGCCAGGCTTGGTACCCGGTCGTTTGGCTCCCCGTTGTGTCGCCTTGTTTCCAAGACGTAGTTTTTGTAGGCCAAATTTCATACTAAGGGGTGGAGGCATAGTCCGTCTATGGGGGCCTTAGAGACGGGTCGGCCATCGTATAGAGGAGAAGGGGGTTGGCCACTTAGGCCCAAAAATCTAACCCAACTAGGCCCAGCTGGCTCTTTTAATCATTAATGTTGAGCTGGCCTTATAAATCCATTAATCCCATTGTAATTAATCGATGTGGTACAAGCTGATTTTTTAATGGGTAAACAGTTTCCAGTGGTAGGAAATAGGAATCATGGTTAGCTTTTATATATAGTAAAGAGGACACACCAAATTGCTTACATCCAAAACTGAACCTTCATTTGCATTTGTCATTAACAGGGAAATTAGTTAGGGATTATCGAAGTTAGTTGGCTGATTTTATCGGATTAGTAGATAATTAATTGGAATATGTGTCATGAAATGACTGTAATTCCGAGAAGATTTTTGTCGCCATTGAACTTGTTTCAGAATTGAAGTGTGTTACTAATTTAGGGATTTTCAAACGTAATTTGAAGGTAACTTGAATTTTTTTACCTGCTATAGCATGTTTCACAGGTCGCATTACATAAAATACAATAGATATTATGTAATGGTTACGTAATGTATGGTAACTTTACGTAACAGTTGTAAAAGGTCATTACGGAAGTCTTACGTAATGGACGGTTGTTTTACGTAATGAATACCAACATTGCATTACGTAAAGTATAAAGTGATTACGGAAACCTTACGTAACGCTTCCGATTTGACTATTATGTAAGAAATAACTATGTTCCGTAATCTTTACTTAATGGAGGGTCTTTTTATGTGTTGAGTATTAACCTCGCATTACGTAAAGTGCTAAGTCATTACGGAAGCCTTACGTAATGCTTGTTATTTAATTGTTACGTAAGAATTAACTATCGTTTCGTAAACTTTACGTAATGGTTGTGTATTTTACTTAATAGTTGTAAAATGTCATTACGGAAACCTTCCGTAATGGAAGGTCGCTTTACATAATGAGTATTAACCTCGTGTTACGTAAAGTGCTAAGTCATTACAAAAGC